ACGGAACCACATAAGCAAGGGCATGGAGGCGAGAATGCCAGAGAATCTAGAGAACCTGGATTAGAGAGTATGAAGGTGAAGACTGGGAGGGTTGGGGTCCATTCCTCAGAGGAGACTGGAGAGAAACTCCCTTTTTGTTCTGTAGCACCAACCGCAATGCAGGGTTTGAGTAAAATAGTAACAGGATCAGGTTTATAAACTGTGGGGAAAAAAACATTTGGTTTACCTACTTTCTGAAAACAAATTTAGCAAAAACAAAACAAAGACACTGCTGTGAGAGGGAACTATAGCAGTGAAAGCAAGTGGAGAAAATATATCTCAATGATCAGGAAAAAAATTACCCTATCCCCACACAGCTTGGCCTCATTTCAATAGAGAAGAAGTTCCAAAATGAAAACCACCTAGTGCAGGGGTGGCAGATGAAAGAAAATCTTGGAAGGAATCAAGGTAGTACATACAGGTGGCTCATTCACCTGTCACTGTACCACATTCTCTGGGGCGACTGCCACAGCTCTTAGTAGTTTCAGCGTCAGGAATTTTGTTAAATTGCTTGGATTCGAGTTTTAGAGCTTCCCTCAAACATAAAGTGAGAATTCAGGAAGAAAAGTGGTTGACCTGGAAAGTCCTTTGTACCCCATTTGCTCAGCACAACTTACTTATCCCCAGGAGCTTTTGCTCATATGCCCCTATTCTCTGAAGGCTGTTTGAGCCCAAAGCAGAACTAACAATTTTCTTTCTAGTGCATTCCTCCTGTACTTTACAGCCTTGACTTTATTACTTTTAAATATCTTTCTCCTTGGCAAGATTGTGAGTTTCTTGAGGACAAAGACTCTTTTCCATTCTTTCCCCAGCATCTGAAAGATGCTCAAAAAAGGCTGGTGCTCAATAAATGGAACTGAATTGAGCTGCCTAAGATTGCACAGGTTTTAGTAACAGAGTTGAGACTGAGACTTCATTTTTTTCCCCAACTCCTATGGCACTACTCTTCCATTATGCTCCAAAATGGAGAGAATTCTGACTGTACTACCCACTTTTCTGTTACAGGTTTCTGGATTCCATTCTGATTTTGCAAAACAGATGATCCAGTATCTGGCAACCCCTGCTCATGTCCTGGTAGGCAGTCTGTCCTACTGCTAACAGGGCCACCACCAGGACCAAAAAAAAAAAAAAAAAAAAGGGTGGGGAGGGGACAGGGCATGCACACGTGTGTATCTGGTGGAGGGAGGGCTTCCATAATTTCCACCTTCCAACAAGAAGCTCAGAGTCTGAATCTTCCCCACTTCAACAACTCCTTTGGAATCCCTTCCCTAGCCACTACCCGCAGTAGTAAGTGTTCACACACAGGTGCACACACACAGCTCAGGGCAAACCTGACCTCATGTCATACGAAGGGAACTCCAAGGTAAAGATAATTTTCACTCACAAAAGGGACCAGTTGTGGGCTCAGGAATCGGCCTTTTTAAATGCCCTTAATCAACACTGCCTGCTGCCCTGTTGGCTGATTTTAAGATATTTAATTCTCTCAAGGTATCCCCTGTCTATCCTCCATTCCCAGGCAAAACTTTTTTATTTA